TCTTCATGACTTATACATGTTCCTCAGACTATGAGCTTATGCAACTCCCGAATACCGAAGGAAATCTTTGTGTGCTATCAAAACCACAAGGTAAAAGGGTGATTATAAAGGTGATCTACAGGTGTCTCTGAAGGTATTTGTTGGGTTGGCATAGATCGAGATTAGGATTTGTCACTTCATGTTTCGGTGAAGTATCTCTGGGCCCTCTTGGTAATGCTCATCACTATAAGCCTTGCAAGCATTGTAATTAATGAGTTAGTTGTGTTATGAAGTATTACAGAACAAGTAAAGAGACTTGCCAATAATGAGATTGAACTAGGTATAATGATACCGACGATCGAATCTTAGGCAAGTAACATACCGATGACAAAGGGAACAACGTATATTATGCGGTTTGACCGATAAAGATCTTCATAGAATATGTAGGAGCCAATATGAGCATCCAGGTTCCGCTATTGGTTATTGACCGGAGATGTGTCTTGGTCATGTCTACATAGTTCTCGAACCCGTAGGGTCCTCACGCTTAACGTTCGATGACGATATGTATTATGAGTTATGTGTTTTTGATGACTGAAGATTGTTCAGAGTCCCGGATGAGTTTATGGACGTGACGAGGAGTCTCTAAATGTTTGAGACATAAAGATTGATATATTGGACGACTATGTTCGGACATTAAAAGTGTTCCGGAGAAGTTTCGGATAAAACCGGAGTGCCGGAGGGTTACCGGAACCCTCCCGGGAAGTAATGGTCCTTAGTGGGCCTTTAGGGGAGAGAGGTCCACACCGGGAGGTGCCCCCCAAGGGGAGTCCGAATAGGACAAGGGGAGGGGGGCCCTCTTTTCCTCTCCCTCTCCCTCTCCTTCCTTCTTCTCCTAGTTGGACTAGGAAAGGGGGGAACCTACTCCTACTTGGAGTTGGACTCCCCCCCTTGGGCGCGCCCCTTGTGGCCGGCCGGCCCCCTCCTCTCCTCCTTTATATACGGGGGAGGGGGGCACCCCAAAGACACACAAGTTGATCTTTTAGCCGTGTGCGGTGGCCCCCTCCACAGTTACACACCTCGATCATACCATTGCGGAGCTTAGGAGAAGCCCTGCGCCGGTAGCGTCATCATCACCGTCGCTACCCCGTCATGCTGACGGAACTCAACCTTGGCCTCAACTGGATCAAGAGTACGGGGGACGTCATCGAGCTGAACGTGTGCTCAACACGGAGGTGTCGTACCTTCGATACTTGATTGGTTGGATCACGAAGAAGCTCGACTACATCAACCGCGTTACTAAAACACTTCCGCTTTCGGTCTACAAGGGTACTTGGACACACTCTCCCCTCTTGTTGCTATGCATCTCCTAGATAGATCTTGCGTGACACTAGGATTTTTTTGAAATTACTGCGTTCCCCAGCATGACCAAGCGGAAGGACCAAAGGCACGCGATGGACGCGAGGGATGAAACCATCGCACCGGCTGCCGTCGTCGTCGCCACGCAGCAGGAGGTCACCAACGCCCGCGTCGCGGTGGCAACGAGGGAGGCGCTCTATATGCTAGGGTTAAACCCTAGCTAGCATGGCCTCGTCAACGCCGCCGTGGCCGCGGCCAGCAGCGGCTCATCTGCATTCCCTTGGATGGTGCTGCCCGACTTGCCCCGCATGTCAGGTTGCATCCCGGTGCCCGGCTTCCACGTCTACCCGCAGGCCTCCCGCCTCTTCGGGGAGTGCTCACCCAAGGTGAGTGTGGTCGCGCCTTCCACGCCCGCGCCCGCGCCCATCGACCTCAATGCCACACGGTGGCCGGTGGCTCATCATCCGGAGGCGTGAGTAAACGCGCGTGACAGATGCCAGCCGACGGGCTGCCGGGCGCATGCAACCTGTTCGACAGAATGCCGGCTGCCGGTGATGAGGACTACATGCAGAACATGATCTTCGAGGGTGGTGCACAGGCCGCTGGCTACAATCCCGACGAGACACAAAGCTAGGACGGCCGAGGGGCGTTCACGCCGTCCGCTGGCTACAATGAAGATCAGGTGGCCTTCATGTGTGATCAGGTCGTCCTGGACCTGGAAGGCTTCCCTATCGACCACGAGTTTCCGGAGGAGTACGGGAAAGAAGAAGAGGACGAGTGCGACATCGAAGGGGAGCCTTTGTTCGTGGACGAGCTCGCCAACCAAGCCGCCAGGGCGAAGCCGAAGCGCAAGAGCAAGCGGACTAAGGAATACACGGCGGCCGAGGACAAGCTTCTTTGCGAGTGTTGGAGAGATATTGGGCAAGACCCCAAGACGGGCTCCGAACAAAAGCATTCAACCTTTTGGATTCGTGTCCACAGTGAGTTCCATGAGCGCAAGAAGTTTCCCCCGTACCAAATGGTAAGCACGCGCTGGTGGGTGTCCATTTTGAAGCGATGGAGGGTGATCCAACAAGAGTGCAACAAGTTTTGTGTCACTCTTGAGAGCGTCAAGGCCCGCCCCATGAGCGGCATCGGCATGCAAGACATGGTATGCTAGCAAGACGCCCTCTTTTGTGTCATCAAGTTTATGCTTGCGTTTTCGTTTGCATACTACTTTGCCAATATGCGTGTATTAAATACATTTGTACGCATTTCAAGCTTTGGAGGCATTCAAGGTCCAACACAATGGCAAGTGCTTCAACCTATCCCATTGCTTTAGGGTCATCAAAGACGAGGAGAAGTCCAAGGGGTAATATGCCGCCCTCAAGTCGCGTGGGGGAAAGAAAGCCGTGGAGGAGGTTGGGGATGGCGAGAAGGCTCGGCCGCGGGGGAAGACCAACTCCAAGAAGGAGGACAAGCGGGATGCGGCGTCGATCGCCTTGATCGCAACCGTGGAGGGCATGATGACCAAAAGGATTCAAGGGAGGAGAAGCGCCGGCAAGAAAGAGAAGAGCAAATGAACGCCTTCATGGAGATCCAAATGAGGAGGCTTGAGATGAAGGCGGAGAAGCAAGTCAGGATGCTTGAGATGGAGGCGGAGAAGCAAGCCAAGATGCTAGAGATCGAGGCCGTCAACACCAAGACCAAGGCGAAAGAAGTGGCTCTCGCGAGCATGATGACCGGGATGGAGATCATGAAGGTGGATCTCAACACCGTGTCACCAAGGAAGAGGCCGTGGTTCGATAAGATGTAGGCCGACATGCTCAAGTTCGATGACGAGTGATCTATGGTGGTGAGCGCCATCCTTTTTTTTGTATGCCGGCAGGTGTGCTGGCATGACCATGGGGCCGCGATGGCGTGATCGAACTCAAGTAAAACCCCTTTTTTTGTGCTGGCATGTGTGCCGGCCGCTGGCGAGTGCGCCAGCATGAACTGTGGTGATATTTTTTGAAGCCGGCATTGTATGCCGGTGCTGGCATGGTGCCGGCATGAGACATGGCCACTGACATGATCTATGATTGCGGGCCTTTTTTTAAAAAGTTGAGTGCGTACATGAAATAGGTCGAGTTGGACGCACCGCCGACCCAAATCTAAAACAGGACGGTCGCCGGGCGGGCGGACCCGGCGGCCGACCCAAATAGACAAAAGACGGACAAATTTGCCGTCCGTTTGGGTCGACCCGATTGGAGTTGCTCTAACCTGAGCGCTATAGCTTCTGCTGTGTGTGACAAGCTCTAAACTCATGTGAAGGGTTTAACTTTTTGTGAAGGGTTTAACTGCCTGATGAAGGGTTTAACTGCCTGATGAAGGGTTAATCTGGACTCTGAAGTAGTGTTGTCCACATGTGTTTCAGTTTCTACAGTTCTCTTCCCTAAGAAAAAAGCTTCTACAGTTCTCCTTGTGTTGTAAAAAATATATGATGAAAAAACTTAGATAGTATCTAAAACAAATGTAAAAAAATGAGAGTTTGTGTTTTTTTTTTGAGTGTAATGAGAGCGTGTGTGATGTATGGTGCATTCAGATAAACGGGCCGAAGCCGTAGGTGGGCTAGTTCGGCTTGTTGCATGCTACTGCACTGTGTGTGTGTGTGAAACCACATGCAAGGGCCGTGCCATGAGAGACGAGCCATAAGCTCTGAGGTCCACATGCGACAGTGCGAGCACTGCACAGTGAAGCACTGAGGCGAAACGGAAAAATAAGTTTACTTAATTTGAAGTTTGCTTCGATCATCTAAAAGAAGGATTGTTTCGCTGCAATCGATGCCTGAAATCGGGGGATCAGGAGGCCAACTTGCTTGCCTTGGCCGCGACCCCGCACGCATTTTCGTGCGTGTAATCTTTCGTTTTTCATTTCATGGACCGAGACGAGTAGAAGCAAACAAACGTCGCCGTTCCGTAGAAACCTCCGAGCCACGCTCCCCAATGTCAGGATCAATTAATCTACCCATCTGCTCATCTATTTTAACAGGGTAGTAGTAATACTTAATAGGACCACAGTAACTAAAGAATGGCATCATGTGGGAGCAGTCAAGATTCAGTTCAGTAAAAGGGAGGGGTCAAACCCTGTCAAAGTAACCGTCCTACTAGCCGTTTCAACCGATTTAAGCTTAACTAGCCGAGGGACAGAGCACGGGTGATGAACTACATTTGTCGGCACAATTCAACTGACTGGTATCCAACAGGCGCCAAGAAGGCTCCTGGTGGTTCATGCCTGCTAGCTAGCTCCACATGCAGGTATAGAAAACATGGCAGGATTCTGGCCCAGGATGCATGAAATGAACGGTGCTTCCATGCCTGCAGTCTTGCAGTTCACTGCTCTTCATTTGTTTGTTTAATTAGAACCCTACGGCGCCGCTAGTGTTGGCAACACAACAAAAGCATTAACTGCAGACGGAATCCCATCCAGCCGCTAGCTCGGTCTCTTCTCTTATTTGATCACGAAGCAACTGGTCAAACATAAGACAAGATCGAGCCCTAGGCCCTAGCTAGCTAGCTGATCGATGGACCTCTCCCTGCCTCTCTATAAATTGGCTCATGCTCGGTTAACGTCTCACCACCGTCGTCCAGCTTTTCAAAAAACAGCAGCTAGGCAGGTAGCTAAGCTAAGCTAAGGGCTCAGTGAGAATGGTGTCCATCAGCTTCAAGATCCATGGAGCCGTTGCTGCTCTTCTCCTGGGCTCCCTCCTCCTCTGTTCTGGTGCGTCCATGGACGAACCGGCCGCTGCTTACAAGCACGTCGCTCCAGCTCTGTCGCCTTCGTCCTACCCCCCGACGCCGGCGCCGGTGCCGATCCAGCCGGTGATCATCGTCCAGGGTCTCATCTACTGCAAGTCCTGCAACCTCCGCGGCTACAACGCCGGCATGGACGGCTCGCCTCTCGCCAGTACGTCCTCCTCCTCCGACATCCCATTCTACCTCTCCCTAACCCCGTCGTGTTAATCAAGTGCAATGTGCAATGCAGACGCGACGGCGAAGCTGGTGTGCTACGGGAGCAAGAGCGGGTACAGGGTGCTCAACATGACGAGCACGGCGACGGACGAGAACGGCTACGTCCTGGTGATGGTGTACGACCTGGCCATGTTCAGCCGGCGCAGCTGCCGGGTGTACCTCCGCACCTCGCCCACGCCGCTCTGCGACGCGCCCTTCCTCCCCGCCGACGCCTCGCTGGGGATCGTCCTCAAGAGGGAGGAGGTGAGGCCGTCGTCGCCGGTGGGCGTGCGCGGCGTCTACAGCGCCAGGACCGCGCTCATGTACGCGCCGCGCAAGGGTGCCAAGTGCCCGGCCTACTGCTGATGATTGAGGAGTGTGGACGTACACGCCCGCACCAGATGAGACGGGCAAGTGTTGTGGGTCGCCGTGGTATGGTATGACCACGAACGTAGTCGGAGACTCGGAGGCAATAATAAGCAGAGATTGTTGTCGCGTAGGTTTGGGTCGTTTTAGTTTGTAGTCCAACGAGAGTACTTGCTGTGGTTTGAAGTTGAAGTCGTTTCCAAGTTTCTTTATCGTTGAAAGGAATCGTTTCCACGTTGTTGTGTGTAAGTTTGCCCTTTTCAGGCTGTCCTTCCCACCAGTAGAAAAAGGGTCTTATGTTCAACTCTTTAGTCCCAGTTTGTAATAGAACCGGCACTAATGTGATCATTAGTGTCGGTTCCAACGGCTAGACGGTCGGCTTTCATTAGTATCGGTTCGTGACGAACCTTTAGTATCGGTTCGTGCCATGAACCATGAACTAAAGAGATGGTGGCAGACTTGTGTCAGGCTGCGGCTCCACCATGACCTATAGTACCGGTTAATGCCACAAACCGGTACTAGAGTGTTTTAGTTCATTCTTTCTGCAGCAGTTTTTTAGTCCCACCTCACTCCGCTAACAGGGTTTTTACCACCTTAAATATGTTACTTCTCAAACTATCATGAGCACTTGGTCTTCATTGAACTCTATGCATATGATCTGTGGCCTCTTAAACCAGTGAAGATTCCTATTGACAATTCAGATTTTACACAAAAAGATCATTGATGATCAATGTATTTTTTATATATATTTTTACATGTTTACACATAGCACTAGCGCGTTTTGGCAAAAACTGGATGCACTCCGTGTATAAACTGGACAATCGCTTTCGAAGTATCAGAGTTTCAGACGAAAACTCATATGTTATAGAGGCACTTTTCATATTTTTTAAACTTATTACAACTCCAGACTTTTTGTGCCTTTAGTATGCACCATTCAAAGCCACGTCATCAACTTTCAATCCTTTATGTCTTCATTTTCTATTTTTCATGCATATACTGATTTTTTGAGCTAAATGACCATGCTATTGAAAAGCACTACAAATTAACTCTGAAAAGGTTAAAAGTTGGCATGGTATCATCATTTCACCCATCTAGCATGTGCAAAAAAGTTGAAAGGGTTACGACAAAAACTGGATGCACTTCGTGTACAAACTGGACAATCTCTTTCGAAGTATCAGGGTTTCGGACGAAACTCATCTGTTACAAAGGCATTTCTTTTTCTAAAACTTATTACAACTCCAGACTTTTTGTGCGTTCGGTATGCACCATTCAAATCCACGTCATTAACTTTCAACTCTTTCTGCCTTCATTTTCTATTTTTCATGCATATACTGATTTTTTCAAATCTTATTTTCTATTTTTTGTACCTAAAGCTAAAATATTTATAAAAAAACTCTAAATACAACATAAAAAAACTCAGAAATAAATAAAATAATATTATTTTTTTGTACGTAAAGCAAAAATATTCACAAAGAAACTCTAAATACAGCATAAACCAACTCAGAAATAAATAAAAGAAAATAAATACAACAGAAACAAAAGAACTACATAAAAAAACTCTGCGCGCTACCCAGTGGACCTGCTTGGCCTTGGGCCAGGAAACAGGCCCACAGGACAACGCGGCAAAGTTAGGGCCAGAAGCGTGCTAAAGAGAGGAGCTCCAGAGAGCTACTGCACTGGGGCCTATAAACCAGTGCGGACGTCCCTCGGCTAGCGAGGTGGGACTAAACTTGCCACACCGAACCTGCGCCAGCGCACACCTTTAGTACCGGTTCGTGGCTCTAACCGGTCTTTAGTACCAGTTGGAGCCACGAACCGGTACTAAAGGTGGTCGCTTCCCGCCGTTTGGCTTGGCCAAATTTGACCTTTAGTACCGGTTGGTGGCCCAACCGGTACTAAAGGCCCCTTCTATATATATAACACTTACAAAAATTTCAGTTAGTTTCTTCTTCATTTGCTTCGTTGTCGTGCCCGTCCCCATCGCCGCCGCGCCCGTCGCCCTGTCGCCGCCCCCGCCGCGCCCGTCCCCGTCACGCACGCCTGTCTCCGTCCCCGTCCCCGTCCCCGTCGCCGTCGCCTCCCCCGGCCGTCGCATGCGCCCGTCCGATCCCCGCCCCCATCACCGCGCGCGCCCGCCGTCCACGTC